AGTTTGCTGCCGGTCCCCAATTCAACTATCATGTTGAGCACAGGCCTCAGGTCCAGAAGCCAATCCCAAGACTGTCAAGGTTTCCAGGTCCTGCATCAGCACCTGGCTCCTTCAACATCAATGGCTTCAGGGCAGACAACACGTTCTTCGATAGCTCCAGGAACCCCTACTCAAGGGAAAGGATATCATCTGATCGGTTCTGGAGCTATCCTCAGTGAAGCTATTACTCTTGCATTCTTTACAACCAAGGTCGCATCTTCCCACACAAGCGCCTTGATGTTGAAGCTATAGCTGGTCTGCCCTGTCTAGAAGAAGCGTTGGATTGTTTCAAGCAAGTGGGTCTGCTGCAGTTTGTTACTGATGAAGAGCATTGGAATGAAGAGCTGCTGCTACAATTCTATGCCACGCTTCACATCAAAGGGTATAGCAGAGATCCGAAGACTTGGGTCCTGGAGTGGATGACTGGCAACGTTCATCACGAAGCCAATGCATTTGACATCATTGAGCTCACTGGCTTGCCCACTCCTGGCGATCTCTTCGAGCAAGGCTGTCAGCTGCATGCTGAAGCTATTGAGAGCATCTTTCAGCGGCCAGAACCTAATATGAGTCAAATACTCAGCATGATGAAGCCATTGCCCCAAGATGCTGCTTACCCCACAGAGTTCTTCGTTGAAGACCTTGAGCACCTGCCCAGAACCATCTATCACATCATTAGGCGAACTCTCTGGCCTATCAAAGGGCACTCTTCAAATGCCAAGCTTCAGGGTGCAATGAAGACTTTAGTCTTCTATATACTTCATGGCAAATGCTTCAATGCACAGGACTTCTTCATACGCCAACTTGCTGCATCAGGCATTGATCTGTTTGGTTTGAAGTTCTACGCCCCTTGGGTCATGTGGCTGATCAAGCTACACTCCACCATCTCGTATCAACCCTCAGCCCGCAACCATCGGATCTTCTTGCCTGACGTGGACATGTCTACTGAATCCATATATTTTGAGCCTGTCAAGCAACCTCTAAGTCTTCAGAATGCAGAACATCAGAGTTTTACTCAGAACGTTGAAGGCATTGAAGCAGTTTCTCGGGTGTATCCTTTGGCTGGCACTACACATGCACCACACCCTGCTGCAACTGAAGCCACTGACAGTGCCACTGCTCCACAACCCAAGAAGCGCACTCGTGTTCTCAACGACCGAGAGCTTCTTGTGGCTCTACATCAGAAACAGGATAGGCATCATGACTGGCTGAAGCGTCAGATGAAAAGCCTCTTGGTGGATGTTAATTGCACTCGAAATCTTGCCACCAAGAATGCTTTCGTTGCCCATGAAACCTGTCGCCGCACATGGAAAGGGCTAACGATGATGCTTTCTGAAGCTGATCTTCAAGAGGATGGATTCACCGAGAGATTCAAGTTTGACTCCACACCTCCTCGAAGGGCTGTGCTGCTAGGAACTCCATCCCTTGAAGACTCTGAGTTCTCTTCCTCTGCTGCCATAGTCACTGCCAAAATTATTGAGGAAGAAGACGATGCTACTTCACCGCCACCTACTTCAGCACCTCCAAGCTCTTCTGCACCGCCAAACAACACCAACAACCCTGCTACTTCACCTACTCCTCATGGGAACGAGTAGAAGCTCTATGTCTTCAAACCTTTTTGGTCATTACTGACAAAAGGGGGAGAAGCATATGAGATTGATAGTCTTTAAGCGGGTTCATATGGGCGGGTGCCTTATATTTTGCTTCGTGCTTACAACTCTCATTTTTTGCTACATTTGGTTCTTATGAGTTGTAACACTTAAACTAGATGGTCGTCTGCTATTTATTTGCCACCTTGTTTTGCGAAGATAAATTCCGCATGTGCGACCATAAATTCCGTACTTAGCTCATTCTGCAGACGTCCATTTTCCATTATGCATGGCATTATCTTCATATACTTTCACATGCATAGTGGATTGTCTTCATAAGTTGAAGTGGATCTCCACAAGTACCACCTGCCATGTGCATTTGCATTCCAAAAAGCAAATTAACTTATATGCACATCTTCAGGGGGAGCCCTTGCAACTTATGAAGACAATTCCTTATTCTTTACAATTTCACAGATTATATTCCCCATTGAAAACTTCAACTAGTTTGTCATCAATCACCAAAAAGGGGGAGATTGTAAGTGCATCTAGTGCCACCCCTAGTTGGTTTTGGAGTATTGACGACAAACCTAGTTGAGGGACTAATGTGTTTGTGAGAATTGCAGGATAACACAGGTAGAAGTCCCTCATTGATTCGGTTTTACTACCAGAGATGACCCCTAAAACTCTATGAAGACATTAAAGTCAAAGGTGGTATATGAAGATATTCACATTGAAGACTATGACAAGAGAAGCCACGATATGAAGCCTATGGAGCTCGAAGACTTAGATCTTTCGTAGTTCTTTTTCTTTTGTGTTGAGTCATAAGAACCACCGTACTGTTAAGTGGGGTCCAAGAGAACCAGTCAGAATGACTGAAGTGATGCCCAAACCAAAAACTATGTCTTCGAGTGAAGACCATGAGAGCGAATCTTGTCCAGAGTCGGACAAGTCAGCTTTGCTTGTAGCCCAAGTAAAGTTGCTGTGTGAGTTTGAAATCTGACCGTTGGGACACGTGTCAGTTCCTTAGTGACCCAGGGTCATTTTGGACAAATCAGGTTGGGTTGCCAAGTGGCTATAAATAGCCCACCCCCTACAACCATAAACGGTTGGCTGCTCAGATTGAAAGTATGGCTTTTGTCGTTTGAGAGCAACCCACCTCGAAGCCTTTGAGAGAGAATTCCTTGCGAGGATAAAGCCCTAACCACCAGAGCCAGAGAGAATTGGGCATCACTTAAGTCTTCTTGTCTGTGTGATCTGAAGACTTATTACACTTGAGGACTGTGCATCCTCCAGCCGGTTAGGCGTCGCGTTCTGAGCATCTAAGAGACATTGTGGATTGCCGGTGAACGAAGTCTGTGAAGGTTTGGGAGTCTACCTTGAAGACTTACCAGAGTGATTGGGCGAGGTCTATGTGACCTTAGCTCAAGGAGAATACGGTGAGGACTGGGTGTCCTGAGCTGCGTGTTCAGGACTGGGTGTCTGGGACTGTGTGTCCTAAGGTTTAAATACCTAGCCGCTCCAACCAGACGTACAGTTGTCACAACAACTGGAACTGGTCCAACAAATCATTGTCTTCAACGAGTCACTGGTTTCATCTTCACTTCACTTTACTTACTGTTACTCACTGTGAAGTCATTGTATGTTTGCACTATCATTTGTCTTCACTGAGTGATTGCGTGTTCTGTTTGGCTTCACAATATCTTCCTACCTGATCCTTACTGCCTAGCTGCTATTAGTCTTTGTGCTTTCACTTCATTGAATACTTGACTATGGTTTGTCTAGTGTAGTCTACCTTCCGCTGCATGGTAATAGATTTAATTTTATCATTTGTCTTCAAAACTCCCATGTTCTGAAGACTTTCATAAAAATCGCCTATTCATCCCCCTCTAGTCGATATAACGCACTTTCAAGAAGTACTCCCTCTGTTCCACAATGTAAGATGTTTTTGCAAGCTACGTTAGCTTGCAAAAACATCTTACATTTTGAGACGGAGAGAGTATAAATGTATAGCTAACTAACGTACATGATGACTATTATATTGTCTATAAACAACATGACAATAGGAATATAGCTAGTAGTCAGCTTTATTATTATTATAGTTGCTCCAATGAAAGAACATAATGGCATTATTATTATTATTGAGCAGCTCAATATGAATACACTTATTTAAGGCGTGAAAGTTGAAACCTTGTGGCAGGGCGACTATATGTAATCTACAAATTGGACATCCTAAGTTTTGACTAAAGTCAAACTTTTAAACTTTGACCAATTATACAGAAAAGGATAAACATCATCGCCATCAGTAATGACAACCATTTTAAAATTAATCAGTAATAAGAAGATTTGTCATAAGATATGCATTCACTGCATATTTATTAGTAATGACAACCACATTTCTCTGTAAACTTTGATCAAACTGAAATGGTTCGAGTTAAAGTTAATTAATTGCTATCAGATTGACCAGACCAGCCCAAGTTTTCAGATTGTGCAGCTCAATAAAATAAAAAGAAGCGCTAAAACGTGGTTCATCAAAGGGTCCTTCAATATGTAATTCTAATCGTTTTGGAAGGAAGTTTCTTCCCCACAAAAACAAAAAGATACTGTAAGCAGGTGAAACGTACTCAAAGTTATGTATAGTACGAATTCATGTAAAATAGTAGGAGCACGAATCATGATTGGCGCTGCCTCCATTACCGTCCGTCGTTATCTTTTTGGCATTCCGCGAGCACCGACGGCGATGCCACGATGGCCACCAAACGCCAAACAGTCACGCGAATGCGCTCGGCAGCGGAACCATCCAAGCAGTCACGTCAAACTCCACCAGAAAAAGGCCAGCGTTTCTTTTTCCCTTCTCAAATCCGGAAAGGCGCAGTCGCTCACAGGATCATCACACCGTCTCACCGGTGCACCAGACCTCGTGGCTGTCTGAGTCACACCGCCAACTCACGCCCCTATCCGGTGATGTGTCTAGAAGACCGGAGCAAACCAACGTGCACCTACGCGGGACGCCGTCTCGGCCACGTCGCCGCCGGAAGGAATACAGGGGATGCCACTGTGGTGACCGCGCGCAGTTTCGCCCACTCCGCACTGCCGCGGAGGTCGTCCCCGTCACCTACCATCCACACCCACGCGCCACGGGCCCGGCTCCCACCGGTACAAGAAGCTCGAAACCCCAACCCAACCAAATCCATCATCGCCATCATCCCCACCTTATTAAACCAAAGCCCGCGCACCTGATCCTCCAGTGCTGTCCGCCATCACAGCGTCCGTGATAGTGCTGTGATCCGCTGATCCTTCGCCTGGTAGCTCGGGGAGCAGGCGTAGCGTTCGTTTCTTGCAGGGAGAGTGGGTCGAGTGATCGGGCGGGCGGGTGGCATGAGCCCGGGGAGCGGCAAGCTGCGGTGGCTGTGGAGGGCGCCGGCGCGGGCGTTCGGCCGCGCGCGGGACTTCTACGTGCGGAGCATCACGGGGTGCGCGCGCTACGTCCCCGCCGACGCGGCCTTCGGCGCCTACCCGGTGCTCGTGCCCGCGCCGCTGCCCAGGAGCCAGAGCTGCGGCTCCGGCGCCGACTACGGCGGCGAGGAGGACCTCCGGGAGCTCATCCGCGCGGCCTCGCAGAGGCGCGATGTCGAGCAGCGGCGGCAGGCCGACCATCTCCATGCCGTGCCCAGGAGCCAGGGCGTGGCGGGGGCGGCGTCCATGGCGCCGATCGACGAGGACGCGCCGTGCGAGTTCGCCGCTGGTGCGGGCGCCACGCTCTACTCCCGCAGTCAGAGCTACGCCGGCGGGGCCATGGGGGCCAGGAAGTCTCACTGCCACAGCAAGGTGTCGGCCTTGGGCTGAGCTAGCCGCCGGCTGCTCCTCAACTGCTCGTGTGTGATCAGGTTTCAGGTCATGCTTGCCAAAAATTGTTCATGTTGCTCCGATCCATCTGAAATTGGGATTTTCAGCTTGTAAATATGATACAGGGAGGAATTCATGCATGCGTAATTTGGTTGTTTCCTTGTAGGCTCGATTATGCTTCAAAAATCATGGGCTCCATGGTCATTCTCTAGTACCTTGCTTGCAATGAAATGCCGGAATGATCATACAGTGTAGATATTTGCAACTCGCCACCCACCGCTGGGTCACCGGTCGCCCAAGAGATTGAAAGCGCGGGCGGTGCCGTTCCGTAGCGGGCACACGATGAATGGCGACATGATTTTCCAGTACATGGACCATGTCACATGCGGCAGACATCACTTGTCTTGACATTCGTATTGCCACATTTGATACTCTCGGGTCTATATTGATATTCCAGTCGAGTTTGCGTTAGTTTACAACGCTGCTACCGCCAAAGTTCACAAGTCATTTTTTTTAGCTTAGATCAGGTTCATAAATAGGTCTATGAACGTGTCAAACTTGTCAATTTTTCTCGTCTTTGACTCCGTACCTTATAATTGCATCATAGCAAACAACATCCGCCAACAATCTATTCTACTGAGTTCAGATACGCTCATTGAAAGAGAATGCCACCACAACGGCTTAGATTGCATTGGACAACTTAACTCCACAGTTTTATTAGAAAAATAAAGAGTTGTCCTGGACATGTGTAGCTTCACGTTTTGGTGAACTGGAGTTCAGATGTCGGCCAGTTCATTTTGGTGAAGTTAGAAAAAGGTCGATTAACCTACTCCACTTGATTCCCGCACCTGCACAATTATCCCAAGTCCTTGTTGAGTCCCCCGGCCTTTGCATCATTGCGATGCACGCAACCATTGTTATGATTATTAAACGGAGTATAGGATGAAAGACAATCACGGTCGAACCATTACAAGGGAAAGAATAGAACACCTATGACTAAGTCATCTTCTTCCACAACAACGCCTTCAAAAAGGGGTACACGATTTTGTTTCACTGTCGCCATGTCTGGCTGATGGCCAGGGCAAGAATTTTTCATCCAGGTTGCTGAGAGCAAGCATTAAAGGCTAGTACATCAGCAAGGAGGCGAGACCTTCAATAAGGTAACGACACAAGATCATCGCTGCTGAGCCTGACAACAAATACCAGAACAAAGATTTTCACCTCGGACATGAAGCAATGTTTCAACTAGCACCTTAAAAATGGATCAGCCAATAATCATCTCAGCCAGTACGCTGAGCCCCATTATCCATCTATCCTAAAAGTTGTTTTGAAATACACACTTTTGTACCTCGGTACCTTTGACACAGTTGCCCAAGCCCTCACCTCCCCTGCCACCCCTCCCCTAAGGTCGCCGCCATCTCTCTATTGCCGCCTCGTCTCTCCTGTGCCACTCCTTGAACCTGAAGCGCCCCTTGTTTCAAAGGGAGGAGGGTAGTTTATTCACTTTTAATTTGATGGTCAGAGGTTAACTGAAAGCTAAACAACAGTAATTAAGACCCCCGGGAGAAAATAGGGATGTCTCTTACATTACCCAATGTGGAAGTACCGACGTAATTTCATAGAGTTATTATATCTGAATGATACATGAAGAACATAAGCCAGATGGCAGAACACGGAGACCTAGGATGTAGAAGATTATGACATGAGTGATTTGGCATATTTGGATTCCTTTCCTGTATATCCACTCATGTGGCAGTTCGTCATATGATTCGTATAAGCCCATTTGTCTAGAGATCATCATATACATTTAGAAAGTCGTATGCTTTGCTAGAAGATTGTACATTTTGGTACCCGTACCACTACCATATGTGAACCCTCCCGGTGCCTAAGAAGCATGTCTCTCGAGTTGCTTGGTTGATGCCCTCAACTAGCACCTCGCAAACCACATGTCGTCCTATCATCAGCGGATTTGAATTGTCGTTGTGTTGTTCTAGAGCTCGTTGTGGAGGGCCTTCCACCAGGAGCCCGAGAGTTTGTCTCTAACATATTGATAAAGACCTCATCCCAGCACTTCTACCTGCAACGGTCATCTGGCCTAATCCTCTCATATCTTTGTTTTTCATTGCTATTCCTGTCGGGTTTATGCTTCTTGAGGTTATATAATTTAGTTGGTAAATGGTGTCCATACACATGTTGGTTAGTCAAAGAAAATGTTTTTCTACTCCTTCTCTCATGACTGTAACACTAGTTCGTTGGTTATATTTTTTGGTATAAATTCTGTTCTTAAATTAGGAATAGATAGATGCATTGCAATACAAATTTGCGAAAGGTAGATAGAAGCATTGCAAATTTCCAAAAGGTAGATAAAAGCATTCTAATGCAAAGTTGTTGCTACATATTTTAACCTTATGGGAGAATTATTTTAGCCTTGATAGAAACATCACTAAAACACTGAGTTCTTGGCAATTGTTCCATACACATGTGGTATTTGCAATTCTTTTTACAGGTCATAGTTCATTTCAAGAGAATGCGAGCGGTTTTGTGATGAAACTCTTGTTAAATATGCAATTCTTCTTGCCAGTTAGTTCATTTGATGGTCTTGTTACTAATTAGTTAGTGGAATTATCCATTAGCAAATAAAATATAAAATATGCTTGATTGTGTCTAACACATGATGCGCAACAGGGAAAGAAAGAAGACAATCAAGGTATCGATGAAACATTTCCTAAACCGGTGAAATACCAAGTTCGGAGGAAAAGGGAGGGGGAGGAGGGAGAGATAGGGTACTTTAGACTTTTCATTACAATCTCCTTCGAGCCTTGATTGTTAGCCAAATACATTTTTATAGCTCCAGAGTGATGGGGTCGAGTTTGTGGTGAAGTGAAACTCTTGCAAACATACACTTGAATCCCATATTACACGAATAATTCACCCTCATACCGATTTTCAGATGGTTGTCTCCACCAGTAAAAGTTAGAGCTCATCTTGCATAGGCAAAAATGATGAAAAAAATCAAAGGAGAAGAAGAAAAGCTAATAGAAAATAGAACAAAATAAGAACACATAAAAATACTTGTTGAGAAATCACCGGATTGTTAACTCATTCAACTAGGTGACACCCCGCACGTTGTTGTGGGAATTTGTGGAGATATATTGTTGGAATATCAATGTTTTGATTAATAATATGATAATTGAATCTGGAAATAGATATTATTTCTTGTATTTAATTACTGTACATTTTCTTTCAAAGATTGTTAGATTACAAGTTCTCTGGAAATGCAACTAAGATAAATCAACATCAATGGCATGGAAAGCTTGCAACAAGATAAAATGAGACAACTAGCAAACAATGCACACAATATGAAAGGTTCAAGAACAAGATAAGTACCGAGGTAGAGACGAAGATATGGATCCCTTGAATGCTTCTCATTAGATCAAAGTGCAAAGCCACATCATACCAAAACAATGACAATAGAGAATTTATGTCATTTGTGTTATGACATGCAATACATAACCCCATGAGAAAACATTCAAACACTGCACAATTAAAAATATTAGGAAAAATAACTACTCACAACCTTAGCATCACATGCAAGGCAAAAATTTGATGAATCGACTCTCGTTAGTTCATTGCGCATAATTAGGTGGTAGTGGTACCCCTGCTGCCTGGTTATTGCAACAACACCTCTTGGATTTGCACAACTAAACCCGAGCATGGACAACCCGGCCTGATGACCTGACCCGAAAAAAGGGCTTCGGGCAGGGCTCAGGCCTCATTTTGCAGCCCGGAAGGTACTTCGGGCCGGGTTCAGGCTTCTTTTTCCAGAATTTCAAGCCGGTCTTACACGTGCGAACACTAGAAAATAACATTCCGGACGGGCTTGACTTTGGGCCGAGCTCGGGCTTGATAAAAGAGTGCATTTCGGGCTTCGGGCAGGGCTCGAGCTTGAGAAAAGAAGGTCGGGCTTTTACAAGCCTGACCCGGCCCGGCATATGCCTGGGTTTATGCACAACCTCTCATAAGATTGGCATACCTTCTCTTCCCCACCAAGTGCCCCCATGTATTTATTTCCATCCAATAATTACTACTGTTTTCATTCATTCCATCTCTGCCAAATAAGACATTGTGGTTGACCTTGCTTCCAACCTAGTCAATCTTTATCAGGTGGAGAACCCTTCATTTTCTTGACCTGTTATATGTGTATTTGTGTGTGTATAATTGTCTTCTTTCTTTGCGTCGCGGAAATATGTTTTTGTTAAATCCACCGATGCACCTGTCCACTAAATGGCATTTCCGGACTGATGTGCACTATATGGAGGATATCCCAATTTGCAAAGCATTTTTGGTGACACCAAGACAAGCAATTATTTTTGTCAGATTTGACGTGCTAAGGGTAAAAGAGGGTTTGATTTGTTGTCCCATTTGATGCGTAGGTTGAAGGGAATATTACTCTCAACTATGTCATTATGCTCTATGCAAGGCTCTGCATTAGTTACGTAATCCAAGTGTATACAAGGGTTTCAATCACTTTGAGTGGAGTATTAGCCATTAGATACAATGGATGTTTTTTTGGATTTACGGACATACTGTCTACTAGTAGAAGGGACGTGCTATGCACATGTTCTTCACTCATCTTGTATATGAAAAAATTGCTTATCCCACATTGTTAGTTTTGTTGTATGCATGATTTTGAGTGTTAAATTCGATCAGAAGGATCGTCAAATTGCTGCGTTCGAAAGTTCGGTGGAAACAAATGTTCAGTGCTTTGATTTGTAAAGGTAGCTGTTTACCCGCTGTTTTTTCTTGAATCTTCCAGGGCTCCGGTTGTTAAGCATTGAACTTTTGGACCAACATTTGTGTGGGCCCATTTGGAGCCGAGAGGATTCCAGAAAGATAGTGGAGTCACTTTGGTGCCTCTCTGTACACAGCGAATCTAAGAAATGTCAACCGTTAGATCTCTTTGACTAGGTATTGATAAATGGTGGATATTCATCTCCTAGAGCAAATCGATGGCTCATAATTGCTCCTGAGTCTTGGCGGATAGGTAATCAAAATTCAAATTTTTATGTACTATAGTAGCAGAGATATAACATGACCCAACCTATGTAATATCCTTTTTATGTTACGTTGATTGGTCAAATTCACATGCCTATGCTTATTATTTCATGTCACTGCTTTCATGGGAAAAATGCTATATCAAACCTATGAATCCCAACCGGATTTTTCCCATAAGAAAATTCTAAGATCTCAATTCCTTGCATTTATATTCTTGGTCATTATTAATTATAGAAATACGAAACATATCATTACTCATTAACACGTGATGCATGCAAAACAAAGAAAGAGAGAAGAAAATCAAATAATCAATAAAACGGTTCCTGAACCGATGCATTACCAGGTTCCGAGGAAAAAGGCAGAGGTGGAAGGGTACTTTAGAGTTTTCACTATAATCTACGTTGAAAACTTGAATTAATTTGGAGCTTGGTCGTTAGACAAATCTATTTTACAACTCTACAGTTTAGTGGTGGAGTGGAGTTTAAGGTGAAGTAAAACTCTTACAAACACACCCTTATAGCCCACCATATGTAGAAAAAATTGCACAACTCACCCTCGCGTTGATTTCTAGTGTGGATCTCCCACTATACAAGTTAGAGACCATCTTACTTAGTAAAAAATTTGATGTGAAAATTTAAAGCACAAGAAGGAAAATAAACAAAAACAGAAAAAATGAACATGAAAAACATTTTGGGAAATGAATGGCTATCTACTCATTCAACTAGATGATATCCCATGCATTGTTGTAGGATTTTTTGCAATATATTTAAATGTGATTGGAGCATGATAATTTAATTAATAATACAAGAATTGAAATTAAATTAGATATGATATATGATATTATATTTTTTATGTAATAATTATATATTTTATTAATATGAGTAGTACAATAGTTTTTCATGCATGATTGCATGTTGAGGTGGTTCTTTTCATTTATTGTGTTGACGGTTGAATTGTGTTTCTTTCAATGCATAACTGCATGTGGTGAGAAGTAGGTTAGCAAGGATCACCAATTTAGTTATATATACTCCCTCTTTTCAATAATTATGGTCATGGTTCTAGTCCAAATTTGAACTAAACTCTATGGAACGGAGGGAGAAGAAGTGAAGAACTTATTGGTGTGATGTTCCTTTTAGGGGGAAAACAGTAGTATGGGGTTGACGTTACAAAGCTGAATGCCATTTACCGTAGAGGCAGATTCTTTTTTATCACATCAATGCCATAGAAGCTGATGCTGAACGAAGTTTTTTTAGGGGATGATTTATTTTATTTTATTTTTGCGGTAGGGAATGATGTTTTACAAAGCTGCATGCCTGCATGTAGAGAGTAGAGACAGAGTAATTTTTTTGAAGAGAAGCCACAGAGGCAATCGCCCGGCGTTATCTTTGGGTTTTTTTTTTTTTGGCCGAACAGAACTGCACGTCTCTTTTTCGGCCCAAAGTATGTATGGTCCATAATGCGGCTCACGAAGCCCAGGCCATTCCAGCCCCAAAATCCACAGGCTTCAGATAGATATTCCGTGTGATTCCACAGTGAGTGGAATTCGTCACGCTGGAAAAAGGAAAAAAAAGGAGTTTCTAAACAAAAGAGTGGAATTCGTGAGGAGCACAAATCTGGGAAGTAGTCGGCCGTGGGCCCACCGGAACCCATCATCTTTATCGGCGACTCCGCCGCGTAACAACCAACCCATCACGGCAGTCCTCCACGCTACGCTCATCCGCGCCACCGCCCCCGACGTGCCTCCCCCATCCGAACCCTAGCCCCGTTGACCAGCGCGGCGACCGCCATGGACGGCCTCGTCGCCTTCTCCCGCCGCCGCCGCCGCTGGCTCCTCCTCGCCGCGCTGGGGACGGCGTCGGCCTACGGCGCGTACAAGATCTACCACCTCCCGGCCGTCGCCGCCCGCCGCCGCCGCCTCGTCCGCCTCGCCGCGGCCCTCGCGGCCTTCCTCGACGCCGCCGCGTCCTCCGCCGACGCGGCCGCCCTCGTCTCCTCCGACCTCGCCGACTTCGTCCGCTCCGACTCCGACGAGCTCCCCCGCAGCGTCGCGCAGCTCGCCAAGCTCGCCGCCTCCCCCGAGGTCTCCGCCACCGTCTCCGCGCTCTCCCAGGCCGTCGCGGCCGGGGTGCTCCGCGGCGTCGGCTCCACCCCCGGGGCCGGCTCCGGCGGCAAGGTGGCCCTCACGGACCGCCTCGTCGACAAGCTCTTCTCCGACTCCGGGGAGCGCCTCGCGTCCGCTGTCGCCGGGAGCTTCGCGCGCCACCTCGTAATGGCCTTCTACTCCGCCCCGTCTCCTCCCGGGCAGACCTCCTCATCGCCCGATTGGGTCAACGTGGTTGCAATGGGAAAGGGGCACAAGGCGATTAGCAGCTGGGTTGAGGTCCTCGTCGGCACCGCCGTGGGGGTGTTCATTGACAAGACCATACACATCAATACCTACGAGCAGCTCTTCGAAGGGCTCACCAATCCAAGCCATGACGCCAAGGTCAAGGAATTGCTTGTTTCAGTATGCAACGGGGCAGTGGAGACTTTGGTGAAGACCTCTCACCAAGTTATCTCCAAGGCCAATAGTAAATTGGATAATAATGGCAATGGCAACAGCAATGGAAGTGGCACTGGCAGTAGCAGAGCTGGGGAAGGGTGGGTGGAGACAGTCTCTAGCACATTGGCAGTGCCAAGCAACAGGAATTTTGTGCTTGATGTTACTGGGAGGGTGACATTTGAGACGGTGAGGTCATTTCTTGAGTTTGTGCTGTGGAAGCTGCATGATGGGGCGAGAAAGAGTGGGGACACCGCGTTCGACAGCGGACTGCGAGCCATGAGGTATATGAGTGATAAGTCTATGGTTCTCGCCACAATCTGCATAACACTGTGCCTGCATGTGTTAAATGGAACTCGATTCCTGGTTACCGCTTGAACATGCAGCCAACAGGGTGGGGGCTTTTGGCTTGTATAATTTGCACATTGTTTATGTACAAATTGTAGCTAAAATTGTACTGAAAAACTGTAAATTCAACTAAAAAAAAGAGCTGAAATGGGGTAATTTGGTTGCAAGGCTTTATTGTGGCTTATGGTTGGGGTTGTTATTCATGGCTGTAATCGAAGTGATTGATTTGTTGTGCCCTTGAGAAAGTGTGTTTGAGGCATTATTTGGTATGGAGATGTGTTGTACGTTTGAAGGAATTTGTATCACTGACATCTTCATCATTATAACATTGCTGATATCATCAATATCGAAAGTTTTTCTGGTCGGTTTCCTAATTGTCTTGTTTTCTATCCATGTCGTTATCTATTATATGTTCGTAAATTGTTTTTCAACTATCTTTTGTTCTCTATGATGTCAAACATAGCTTAACCTCCTCATTTCACAATTGGATTTGTGAATGCTTTGTTTGGATTCGAAGTTTTAGTAAGCTCAATATTAATTCTATGTAGATTTGTGATGACGACTTATTATTCATCCTGTGTAGTGTACTAGAGGTTCCTAAGAATTCATATATGAAGCAGTAGGTATCACATATTGAATGGGATCTTACAAACATTACTCTAGTGATGTCGATGCATTGTCCGATGAAAGTTCCCCCCAAAGGTAAAATACTAACGGACTGGATTTCTGTTCCTCCGTCTTAGCTTACATGATACAGGTGCAGAAACAGTTTTTGACGTACTGGTGTTAGATTTGGTTGCTTGTTAATTGCATATTGTTTCTCTAACTTCTGTTTTAAACTGTTCCTTTTGGACATGGCTTCATGGTAATATGAAGAAAAGAAACTGCAGTATCCACAGTGTTTCACACACAAGAATTATAAACTTTACATCAGTATTTTGTTTGATTGTTTTACTAACTATGACACTTTGTATAGTTAGGGAAAGAGATATGGCGAATTGTGAGAGGTGTGGGGAAGTTAGTAGACAAGGATGCAGTTGCTTTGATAATCTCTTTGAGGAAAACATGTTTGTTTTAAGTTACCATAAATTTAACTGTCTTGTTGGCGTTTTCCACTGAATCTGGTCAATTTATAATTTTTAATGCTCGCCGGATGGCTTTCCCTTAAAAAATGTTAATGGAAGTGCGTTTAGTCTGATGGTAAACATGCATGGCCATTGTCATTTCAAAATATCCAGATTTACTCAAATTGGAGTTCTGCAGAGTATTTGTGTGATTGTGATCAATCATTGATGAGCCATGCGCTGTATGAAATTGATGCTATTTTCCTTTAATAATAGCCACAGTTGTATGTATTTTATATTGATTTGGAATTTTGAATAGAACTTCAGTTCATTTTACAAGTCAAAAATAACTTATGTACTAGCAGTCTCTTGTAGATTTGAAAAAGATGCTTGTTCATAGAAGGGATTCTAAGCTAGCAACCAAGGCAAACATTCATTTCTAGAGAAGTGCACTATCCTGGTGTCCTTCTTTCAGGCTTTGTTCGGTTGAGGTGGATTTGAAGGGGATTGGCAGGGATTGAGGGAGATTAAATCCCCTACAAGCCAAAATCACCTCCAATCACCTCCAATCCTTTTGAGAAGTAGATTAACCGAACAAGGCCTCAGGGAATCAGGATTTCATCACCTTTTCTTTACATATTTTCTATGTGCTCTGGACTACCTTTTTTGGTCTATTTGCGTTGCTCTGTTCTGTTCTGTTCAATCATATCTAGAATGAATTTGCTATATGGACTGAAATGGGTCGGGTTTTACCATTCTATCAGCCTAGAAAAAGTATTCAAGTGATTGTTTTTCCACTCTATAGCTGAAACATATTACACTATAGATGGCGATACTGTGTTTGCGTATGAAAATAGCACCTCATGGGGTCGATACTTGCGCCCCTGGCAACTAGTTGAGTTTCTGAAAAACTCAGCACTTCAACATTACAATTCTACTGGAATAGCTGCAGTGTTTTGTCAGTCAAGAGCTCGATGATGTTGTTTGCTCTATGGTTTCCTGTATGTAAACTTGCTGTATTTATTCTGTAAAAGGTGTAAAGTACGCACACCGAAAGAAATCTGAAGACAGACCAGGTAACCATGTCAAATTGCTACAGTAGTGGTTGTACTGACACAGAACATTGCTGCTAGCACTTGTTGCAGCGTTCATGTGTTTGCATGATAATGTTATGTGCATAGAGTGTGTTAGATTCCCAGTAATGTGCAGTCACGGCTTGCTGGCATCTACTTCCTCCGTTCCTAAATATTCGTCTTTCTAGAGATTTCAAATGGTCACCACATACAGATGTATATAGACATATTTTAGAGTGTAGATTCACTCATTTTGCTTCATATGTAGTCATCATTTGAAACCTCTAAAAAGACAAATATTTAGGAACGGAGGGAGTATGAGAATGAGGAACACACATATGTGAAGCCTGCGGCACCTCTCAAGAATGAAAACCGACTCCGGATTTTCGTTTTGGGGGTGCAGATTGGAGCCCGTGGAGCATGATAACTTTTTGATGACCTTGTTGGGCACCTGCGGCAGCTCCATGGGCAATGAACTTCATGCTTAATTTATATTATTTGATGCATTTTATATTATGCTTGAATTTGAATTTTTGAATTTAAAATCTAAAATTTGTGGAGAAATGATGTTGAATTGTGTGTGGTTGAAACATAATGATCTGAATTAGTGACGAGAAAATAGACTTTGTGATAGTGCTTACATGCAAGTGTAGAGAGATATAGAATAGGTTGAATTATTGGATTCTCAAAAGCACCTACTCCCTCCGTCCAAGTGCGTTGGATCAAAATCCTGAAAGTATTACTCCCTTCATTCGAAATTACTTGTCGCAGAAATGGATGTATCTAGACATATTTTAATTCCAGATACATCCATTTCCGAGATAAGTAATTCCGAACGGATGAAGTATTAAGCATAGCAGCTCCAATATGGTAGAGTGATGGATTATCGGGGCTCTGTCGGAGATCTAATAATAACAGCTGAAATGTGGAAAAGCTTCAGCCAGCTTGACTGGCGTTGGATCTCCATCCAACGGTCGACACAAACCCTTCACGGCCCTGCACAAAAACCTCACCGCGCCACGGAAGTTGTGTGCCGAAGAGAAGCTTCCCGAAGGAAAGCCTGATGGCCGGGGCCGCGGCCGCCACCGCCGCCGCTCCGCCGGAGACGGCACTCCCAGCGGCGGATGGCCCCGGATACGACGGCGAAGACTACGAGGGGGAGGAGTGCCGCATATGCCGCCTCCCCGCCGAGGCGGACCGCCCTCTGCGTCGCCCCTGCGCCTGCCGCGGCAGCATCAGGTTCGTCCACGACGATTGCCAGCTCCGGTGGCTCGCCGCCCGCCAACAAAACCGCTGCGAGGTATCATCTCTTGCCCCCCACCCCGCTAGGGTTTCCAGGCGCGTGCTTCTGCCCCTCCCCCCTGGGTCTCGGCATCATGTCCGCCATGATTGATCCCCTCATGTTGTTGGTGTGGTATGGGGCGCTTAGTTCTTATTCTATTTTTGATATCGTCTAGATTCATCTGGTTCAGTACCGACCTTCACCCCATTTACTATTAGAACTATGTCATGGTTGGCGTTGGTATGATTGCCAGGGGGAATATCCCCTTCTGCAGTGTAAGATTGTCAGGGAAAATATCCCCTTCCGCAATGTAAGATTGCCAGGGAAAATATCCCCTTCTGCAATGTAATACGTTGTTATTGTCATATTATTGCTGTGGTTATGTTGAACTCATTTTCAGTTCCATTTCAATGTGATACCGATGTTGAAGTGTCTGATCTTTTTCTTATCATTGCAGGTGTGCAACCGCGACATCTCCACCTGTCCTCTCTACGCCGCAGATGCCCCTGCGAGGCTGCATGTTTCTGAGCTCATGGCGGGTTTGCCCAGGAAACTCATGGGTCTGCTGCTCCCCCTATTCTTCGCCTTCTGTGTCGTTTGGGAGTTTGTCATTCCGCTCACCACCCTCTGGACATGGCGTCTTGCGCTCGCCACGACCTTTGCTCAAGTGCACCATCTACTCTCCCTACGCCTATCTGTGACCTGCATCCCTGCTTCAATTGCGCTCTGGGCTACATTTGTACGCTGGGTTGCACCGTTTGCTGTAGCTCCATATGTGTGCTGGGTTCAACGCCTGGTTACTTGGAGTGAGAGCCAGGAGTTTTGGTTACTTGATGCCTTCCAGGTCCTAGCGATATTGGCTGTTGAAGTTTCCTTGGCGGTATGATCATTGCTTCTCAACTAATATCCTACGTGTGCTACTTATATTTGTTTATTACGATGCTACGGTATTCGTTGAACGATAATATCCTTCTCGTATCGTAGTAAAGCACCTGTTAATGCAGTTCTGTCCTGAACTGGAGCATTTAGCACATCTTGCCAAGGCTTTCCTGATTGTTTATTTACATTTCGTCACAGTGGCACAGCACAATATGGCGCTAGTTCGAAGTGTATTATCCTGGATGTGTACAGGTTATTAGAAGAAATGTAAGCAAGACTTGAATGATGGTCACATGGAAGAAACTGTTATAAGTTGTTCTATAAAATATGACGATGTTAAACTCTTTGCTTCTTTCACTACCTTGAAATTGTGCCTTCCATTGGCCGGGATGGATACACTAGTGGGAGGACTACTCCCAAATATAGATTTTGGACTTCTTCTGGTTATTATTTCAATTGCACCGCCAAAACTGTCTAAGCTTGTTCTTTTGGTGTTTTAGTTGCTATGCTAACGTAGTATGTTATTATTACCTTCTTAAGGTAATTCTACCCTTTTTTATCTACAAGGTTGTGGGTTTGTAGCTTAGTTGCGTCCTCCTGGAGGATGAGAGCCTGAAATATCTCCTGCTTGCTTTTTTATTACTTATTTCTAGAAAGATCTAACAATATACTTGTCTAATCAGGTGGTAATAGTTGACATGGCCCTTGCTTGTATATTTTGTTTTGTCCCATTTTCATTGGGAAGGATAATTCTATGGTCAACATCATGTCTCAGCTTTGGCAATGTGGATGAAGTCAATTCTTACACTTCAACAACTTCTACCCTTCTAATTGGATATGAACTTATCTTTAAGGTGGGTGCAAGTTTTGCTGTGGTGCATACTTATCCGTACTTGAGGGGCGAGCGCCTTGTGGTCACAATTTTCTTTAGAAGATTGTATGGTATATTCTTCAGAGGGATCATAAAATTAACCAGAGTTGCCAATATTTCTCTTAATATCCTATACAACGTGATAATATACCCATTGTTCTTCGGCTGGTCGCTTGATATCTGCACTTCAAAAATGTTTGGTGCAACAATGTCCCAGAGGTTTAATTTTCTGATTGCTTCATCCTTTGCTTCTGCTGCCCTACATTGGCTTATTGGACGTTCCTTTTTGAAAATACGCCCCAGATTATTCAGACTTCTTCACAAGGTAAATACCATACTATTATATTTATGGTCTTATCATGTTAAATTGTTAATAGTGACGCAGAAAATAATTCATGAGCGTTGTATTTTGTTTTTGAGTAGATATTCGGGCCAGGAGTTGTCACTCCCTTTCTCCACTATAACTTCTCCGAACCATTCTACAAATTTTATTTAAAGAACCTTCTTGGTCTTTTTGTGGACACTTTCTTTGTTGCTCTGGTCATTCTTGTCCCTATCAAAATTGCTGACCTTTTGGCACCAGAGGTGTTCCCACTAGATATCACGTAAGTATTCAATTTCTGTTCTTTATCTGATGTTTCTGCCCATCTATGCTCACTCAAAACATTGATTTTACTATTTTTTTGAATCGTAGCTACTTTGATCATCCTGCTAAGGGCACATCAGTTTGGCAAGGGCCACTACTAAACTTTGCAGAGTTACTTTCTGCTGTTCATCACATGACGTATCTCATTGGCAAAACAGTCATCTACCTTGGGCGTGTAATGGAGAGGGTAGTGGGGTACTGATTTGTCACTACTGGTCAGGCTCTTGGGAACAATGTTGCACCAAAAGACCAGTATGGTACCAGCGATGATGCTAAGGACGAATGGTAAACACCCATACTGATTTTCACTCAGGGAGGAGCTGCACAGTCAGCCCTGATTTTAGTCTCTTTGGCCAGACTGAATCTACGTCCATTTTATAATTTTATCTATCTTTTACTTATTGTTTCACTGTTCACTGTTTAAATAGGGTACTTCCATTCTTGTAAAATGGCCAGTGATTTTGGCACGTGCTCTCCTGTTTACCTCTGTTCAAGGGGACAGTCCATCTCAGCATCTCTTGCGAAAATGTTCGTCTTTCATAGGGAATTATCGTGTACTCTTGGATCTCTGCTCTGTCAATTTATTAAGCGATGACACCTTGGCATTCTGACAGTTTGGTGCTTATGCTAGTCCATCAACTGTTAATTATTTTAGTAAAATTCTACCATAGGGAAAACTTGCAATTTGGGTCTCTGCTCACTGTCAATTCATTAAGCGGTCACACTTGGCATGCTGACAATTTGGTACTTATGGTAGTCCATATTTTTCGATTTGTTTTAGTAAAATTTCAGGATAGGGATAACTTGCAATATGGTTCAAGTAGGCTTTAGGTTCCAGAACTAGAAGATTACATATTTGGATCCTCAAACCTATATAAGCCAATCAAGTGAGGTACTGAATCCAAATAATGTTTTGCTGCCTGACATGGCTTTTATAAGGGCAATATGGATCATGTGATGCTTACTTACCCTTCTTGCACATTGCAGCAGGAGATATGCTGCTGTTCAAACAATTCTAGGCGTGGTCCTAGCATGGTTGACTGCTGTGATGTTCTATTCTGCTATGCTTTTGTTTCCAGTCTCAGTAGGTCGTGCATTGCTGATTGCCATCCCTCCGCTGCCAGTAGCAGGTGGATTGAAGTCCAATGGTAAATGACTGTTCAGAGATAATCATTGGGCTTGCAATGGAAGTAAATTTTGATCTTGTCTGGGCTTACTTGTGCAAGTATTTTCTTGTAGATTTGTTTGCTATTTCTGTTGGATTTTGCGTCATATCAACTATCATTGCCGCCCTTAGAGATTTATCTGCATGCATGACTTCTGGGGAACATGCCTTCTAGCTTTGAAGAGGGATCTGCTTTTCTTCATATGGGTGAGGAATTCAATCTAGGTGCCTTCATTTATATATTTTTCTAGTTTATCCTACAGCTGAGTAACTTGATTGTTTCTTTGCCAGACGGTCATCATTCCTCTCTTGATTGGTTTGCTGGCTGACTTATTACTGATATCACCCTTCGTTGGCACCGATGATGATTTTCCAGCTCTAAACTTTTTCCGCACTTGGCTCCTGGGCCGGTTCTTTAAGCTCTTATGGATTAACCACGTCGATGAAAGTTGGGAGGCGAAGCTTAAGCGGGCAAATGAAGATTTTGCTGCAGAGCTCAGACCAATGTGGTGGTTCTTTCAAGATGTGTGCATTCCTGTCGCCATGAAGCTACTCGTTGCTCTGGGTGTTCCTTATGTTCTCGCCAAGGGCGTCTTCCCAAGATTGGGCTACTCTGCCTCCCTGAACTCGACGGCCTACCGTTTCTCATGGTTGGGCAGCCTTGGCATTTGCGCCTTCTACTATCTTGGCAATGTGTTGTTCGTTCAGCTCCATGATTCTATCAGGCATGACCGCTATGCCATTGGGCGGAGGCTGGAAGACGTTGGAGGCAGAAGCTGAAGACTCTTTTCTGAGGACTTTCTTGTAGCAGTTAGTTCACTTCAGATAGGGATAGGGTGAGTAATATCAACACTTCGGTGTGCAGACGGAAAGGAATATATAGGTCGCGTTACTGACAGGATGGATGCAAATGAGATGGTTCCAAACAGACAAATTTCCCACGAAACTTGTACATATGGGCGTGGTTTTCTGTGTGGAGGGCATTTGCTGAATTCAGCATTTGTGGACATCTAAACTTGACAAGACAGTTTGTATACTTGTTTCCGCATCACAGCTGACTGATTTCAGGTACACTTAGCATGTTTGTTTTCATTACACGACTGGCTGAACCCAATGAGTTTTAAAATTGCACAATTGCTTGGTCCAAAGTTGCGGCATTGAAAGTGTGCAACTCTGGCAGTAATGTTTTTTGGATGAATGACCTCTGGCAATTATGTACCTAAGTGGTTTGTAGTTTATGTTCGGCTGGGCTTGATTTTTGCTGGAGAGAAAGGAATAAGTTGGGCTTAAAGGTGTTCTTCTGAGATACCGATGACCTGCAATGGATCTAGCTAATCTCTCTAGAAAACCTAGGGAGTTTGTCTGCTATTCTCCCCTGCATTTTTCACTTAGAAGTGCCATTAGTAGTGATTAAAGTGATGATTCAGTCAACATATATAAAAGATATGTGCAGGTTCACAAGGGTTATACTTCATTTATCTTCGTATTATTCTAGGGGTCCCCCGCAATCTGCGTTTTATAGAAGTTGTCATGTATGTGCGCTTTTTTGGTCTACGTGCGATGTTTTATTGTGTTCACGTCATATCTAGAATGGACTTGCTATACGGACTGATATGGGTGGGATATGACCGTTGTTTCAGCCTAGAGCAGGCACTCCATGTTTGTGTTTCCCGTCTATAGCCGGAACATATATATACTAGAGACTGTGATATTGTGTTTGCATATGGAAACAGCACCTCATGTTGGAGTTAGCTTCGCTCCCCTGTCAATGACTTTAAGTTCCCAATTTGTTTCTGAAAAACCCAGCACTTTTACATTGCAATTCTCATGGAATGACTGCGGTATTTTGGAGGTCGAGAACCCGATAGTGTCGTTTGCTATATGATCTCCTGTAAAAAGCGCACAGTTTGCAGAACGAAGTGAGGCTGAAGCGAGACCAGACAACCCTGCCCATTTGCTGCAGTAGTACTGCGGTTATATTTGGGCTGGGACATTGCTGATAACACCTGTTGCGGAGTTCCTGTTTTTCGAATGAAAAGCTCATCCATTTGGAGTCCCAGCCGGTCCTACTAGTGTAATGCATCGCATAGTTAACTGCTTGCTGGCATTATCCTTATCCTGTTGACGTTTCCTGGTACTCTGTTGCGCAGTGGGTCTTGCAGTTCTCAGCGCTCGAAAGTTGTCCGTCAGGAGCTCAACGGGTGAGGTATCGCCCACCTCTGTTTTTCTTTTCATAAAATGTTATGGCTCTTGCTGCTCCACAACGGCAATTCTTATCCGCTCGTAGCTCGTGCCACTCCTTCTGTCAGGCATCGAAGGAAGGAAATTTCAACAGGGGAGAGCTGGTCAATGGTCACGCTGTGGCCCAGCAGATCGCACCAGCCCTTTGCTTACCGGCCGGGGCTTGCCATGTAGACCAGAAATCAGCACGCGTCCGTCGCCGGCGAAGCGTGCACGCACTGCGCCGTGCCTGATTTCCTTCGTTCCAAAGGCTTGTTGATCGCACGTGCCACCGCTACCCGTCAAGACTGCAATGGAGCTCAAGTGTCAGTAGTACTCCACGTGCCATACGGGTCGAAATGTTTAATCGTAAAGGAGGGGTCGTAGCTGGTACTCCCTCCGTCCGGGAAAAGTTATCTCCGTAACGTTTTTGCAAAAAACTCCTCCCCAGACTTCCCACATAACCCGCACTCCTCGTCTTCTCCGGTCGACACTCCGCCGCTCTGACACAGGCGCATGGACGCCGGAGCTGCCCTGCGCCGCGCTGCTCTCCTGCTCTCCCGTGTGTCCTCCACCACCGTCGCAGCTGCCTCTTCCGCCGCTCCCTTCTGCCTCGCGCAGAATCCCTGCCTCCCTTGCCTGCCTCCCGAATCTCTCCTCTTTCTCCCCAAAAATCGTTTCTTCTTCCTCCCGCCGCATCTCCTGCTCGCGCCCACCCCGTCCCTCCTAGCGTTGATGGAAGAAGCGTGGCGGGCCCTTGGCTCGGCGGTCGGCTACGCTGCCTTCCGCCCCCGCCTCCCCCTGGCGCCGCCGCCTCGGCACCCGTGGCGTGGGGTGCGGCCGTGATGGCGCGCCGGGAGACGGTGGCCAAGGAGTCGTCCTCGCAGGCGGTGAGCCGGATCGTGTCCAGCTGCGCCAACTCGACCGGCCTGGCCCCCGTCCACCCGTCGTCGACGCCGACGCCGTCATCTCGCTCGCCTCCACCGCGGGCCGGCTGGTCAAGATGCCAGAGGTGCTCGAGGAGGTGCGCGACGCCACAACGCTCTGGAGGCTCGCGCTCCTGCCCACCCCCGTCGAGACCATCGAGCAAGAGAGGTCGAATGTTTACTTTAGCCGGCCCAAACCCTTGTATTGCTGCTTTCATTTGCTGAATAGAGCTTAAACTCTGCACTTTCATGGACTGAAGTTCATTTTTCTTGATGCTCTCTGCATTGCTGTATTCAGTAGGGCCAGCTCGAACCGTGTGCACCAGGAAGAAGGCTAGCTCGAACATTGTTTGGTGAAGCAAGCAGCTGAGCTGGTTTTGTTCTTGTCGCCTTGGATCGTGCAGCGATTGGAGGAGGACTTGGTGCAGAGGAATGGAGTACGAGTACGGATGCTGCTTCCGTTGATCTCAGGTGAGCTTGCTAGACGAGTACAGATGCGTCCTTTGTGATTTTAAAACTACTGTTAGCCATGGAATTTGAGTGAGCAACCACACATTGAAACAACATTGGGCATACAGTATGCTTTGATCTCCAATGTTCAACTACTATTAGCTTGAGATGAACATACAGTATGCTTGACTGTATAACTGTAAATTTGCCTGAACATATGCTTAAGATGAACATACAATATGCTTGACTGAAATAGCTGTTCATACACCTGGAAATGTTACTATGGGTGAAATTACCATTAAAAAAATGTATAACAATATTTGGAGTATTGGGTGAAATTACCATTAAAAAAATGTATAACAATATTTGGAGTATTTATGATGATCAAAGTGTTTCTTACTCAAGTGTAATTGTTGCCTCGTCCACCATTTAGTATTCCCT